GGGATATTGATTTAAAATTTGAGATTAATTTTTTAAAAATATTAATTTTTTGAGTTTATATTTATTGGTTTAGATTTAAGATTTGAAGTTAAAATTTAATTTTGGTGTTAAAATATAAGAGTTTAGAGATTTATTTTGAGTTTAGAGGTTGTGTTTAAAATTTTGATTTTTAGGGTTTAGGGTTTAGGGTTTAGGGTTTGGGATTTAGAATTTTTGGAGGTAAATAAAATGGAATGAGAGGGAAAGTGAAACAGGGTGAGAGGGAAAATCAATTATTTTCCCGCTTTAGTTTTGCATAGCGTTCTAAAACTAAAAGTGCTATGTATACAATGTTTCGTAAAAGTGATTACGAAACTAAAATTGGAATAATTAAACACAGCGTTTGCATTTTCGCAAACGCTATCTATAAGTAAGAGGTATGTCAACCATAACACAAAGGAAAAAAACGCTATCCTGTTCTGCTATTAATACTCAGATTTCTTGTAGTGCAATTTCTACTCTCTGAAGCTTTATCATTCTTGTGTGAAAGCCTCCTCCATAGATTCTACTCATTTTTCTATCATCTCAGTAATAAGGAGTACTTTAAACCTTGCAAATGGCAGTGAAAAACATGTGCTGTGCACTCTGGATTTTCTGACACCATCTGAGAAGTGAGGAGTGAATGATAACTGAGGATCTCCCTTGATCCTTTTCCTCTTCTTCTAATTTCTCCTCTTTTTTTCTCCTAGACTTGTTTGTTTCTGTCTTCGCGTGCTGAGATAGCCGAAGGATGTCGATCGACAATGAACATGTTGTGTCGATCGATGGTATTTGGTTTATGTCAATCGATGTTGTTTCTGTTGAATCTTTCTCGACTTCACCTCTACATCTCAACCATCTCTGAGAAGCTTTTACGTGCTGATGATCATCCAATATCCTAATGTAGGAACTTGGTTACACACTTCTATCTGGTGGGATAGGAAAATTAACTTCTAATACTGCGCAAGGAACCACAGTGTTCTAGGATCATGTATCCTTTTCACTCTTTTGTGAAACCCAGCCGCTTTTTCTGAAAATATAAGTTGTTTCAGATGTTGAGGGATAACAAGGTGTGATGCTTCAGACTTGTACTCTCTGTCCTCAGTCGGCTCCAATTCTACTGTGTATCCTGGAATCTCGTTCATCCCTATGTGTCGGTCGATATCATCAAGTGGATGTTGATCGATGACATTGGGCGGGTATCGATCGATTCCATTAGGTTTGTATCGATCGATGCAATCCTTTGACGAAGTCTCCAAATATTTTCTCATAGTATTCCCTTCATCATCAAGCTTCCGCTCAAGCCATTTTTCCAACTCCAAAAAGTCTACTAGAGTGACTTCCCTATCATAATCCAGATATTCAAGCTTTTCTCATTCCTCTAACTCGAAGAATTCTTCTATCTCCAAGGAATTTTCCATGATGATTTCTCTGTTTACATCCGAGGTAAGATCACAGCTCGATTCATCTGCGCTCTCCTGTGTTGAGTATGTGTTCTGAGGACAACTCGAACTTTCAGGAATAAGTATCAATCGGGAACATGGGTTTCTGTCGATCGATGCTGAGATACTGCTATCGATCATTTCTGAGGTAACACCAGCGATCGATCGAGTCTCCAATACTAGTATCGTCTACTCTGTTCAGCTCTCCTGATATATGATACTTATTACACATTTCTAAAACGTACTCGAAAAAGTGGCTTGGAATTTCATCTTCTCTATTTATTCCCCACATGGCATAGATCTTGTCCGACTTATCATTGATCTCTTTTTCTCGAGCTGCTGCAACTTCATCGAAAAATTTGTTGTGGAAGGCGGTCTTAATGTCCTCCCAACAGGTTAAGGATCTTGGCTGCAACTGACGGAACCAGTTAAATGCATCTCCAGATAAAGAATAAGGGAAAATCTTACAGATAATGTGGTCTACAGATACTTTTTCTGCTCGCTTGTGGAAGCTAGCTCCTCAAGTTATTCCGAAAATATATTCTAGATATTGTTAATGTCATTTAAATTTAATTATATCTAATATATGATAGAGAAAATTGATTTTATTGATTTATTTACCATAAAATTATTGTTAATAAATAAGAATAATCATTTGATTTAAATGCACACACCAAATCCCCTATATATTAATTGAGGATCATTTAAAAAGTTATAACCTTAAGTTTGTACTAATTAAAAAAATCATATCTTATGTGGCAATTCTCTATAAAATTATACTTGGAAGAATTCTAGGACACCTCATATAAAGCATAATTTTAAAACAAAATTAGTTGGTCTTATATAAGACATATCAAACTAAATAGCATATCAAACTAAATGTCCTCTATATTCTTTCTTTAAATAAAACTTACGGAATTACCTAATGTGATTAAGATATATATGACTATTAATGATTTTAACTAATAAAGATTTGTTAACAATCTGTATACTTTATATCATTTTTTTTAATTATTATTATTAAAATAAATTACACAACTACACTAATCATATAATAAAATTTGGACTTTTTTATATATGTTGTATTTTGAAATTTTTAAAACGAGTATAAATTACTAAAACTATTAAAAATATCATATAAACTTTTGTGATCAAGGTCTAATTTTTTTTCTCTAATAAGTTACAATGATTATAAAATCATATGAATAAATAATTTTATTTTAATAGGTGTTTATGTTAATATATATATATATGTATATATATGAATATGTATATATATGTATATATATAGATCTTATATCGTAATAAATAATTTTATTTTAAACATAATGATAATTTAAAATTTAACTTAATTTTTTTATAAA